TAATGCATTTGTGCACCAAGATACATGACCAAAATGTTCCTATCGGCATAATTTGTCACTACCCCAAACTGTAGATAGGCCATATAAATGAACATGAAAAAATAGATTGGATAATTAAATTTTGTATGTTCTATTGGGTTATCTGTCTTTTTCTTACCAGTACCTGGAAAATTTAAAACACACACACACACACACACACACACACACTTACATGTGTATATATAGGCACATATATATGCACACACACATATGTATGCATATGCACATACAATAAGTTTTTTCTTTGATTAAATATGCTACAAATATCTTATCCCCACACAAGTTTGGTGAAATAATCACAGACTAACAACTGAGAAATTCTATGTTATGAACAGAAGGCAGAATTCTTGAGCTTGGATCTGGATACCTGATTGGTGAGATCCTACAGGAATTTATCTGTAAAAGTATGATTTCTCTATAGGGATGCAATTACTCTCAAAGGTCCAGTCTCTTCACTTTGTTTGATGACAAAAAGTTCCAGTTGCCTGTAGAAATAATGGACTGAGACATTAGTGGTTCACCCTCTTCTAATCTGAATGGTCAACTTTCTTACCAGCTCCTGCCAATATGGCATGTACAATCCTACCTCCATAACTGAGTTCTGATGGTTGATTAGGAACTCACCATTTAGCTCTGCTTATAATATTATTACTAATGGAAACACTATAGTTAAAAAGAGGGTGGCAATTTTGAAGATGCTTTCTTACCCATTATCTCCTTTGCCCTCGAAACACCCTAAGGAAGGTATGGCTGTGCTATCATCTTTACTTTGATGATAAGAAAATTGGCTCAGACATAAGTGGCTTATATCAGCTTCACCACCGGCAATTTGTATAGTTTTGACTGGAAAATAAGATTGGAATCTTGAAATTCTGGGTTCTATCTACATTATTCTTTCAGAGGTGGTCTCAAGTCTCACTTCCTCTGAGGATCTTCCCCTTCACACAGGATTCTTCCTTGTCCCTGATGAGTTCTAATTTTTATTTTCTATACTACTCATTTGATAATGGCCACAAATACCTTGAACTATCACCTACCTAGAGGTATAACCTCTGTTCCACCACATTATTTGTAAGTTGCTCCTGAAGCAGGAACAATATTGAATATCAATTGGCTTCTTCATCAACTTCACACCATGTCTTTTCTGCAAATTGTGTCCAGTCAACATTGGCTGAGGCTTGCCTATCACTGTGGGCTGCATTACTCAAAGAGCTTACTCTACATAACAGGACCGAAAAGAAATATGCCCTGATCCATTCATGCTTTGTGGAATATTGGGAAAATTCCTGCTGGTAAAGTTATTGCAAAGCATAGATGAACTTGGAAACCATCATTCTCAGCAAACAGACAGAAGAACAGAAAATCAAACACCACATGTTCTCACTCATAGACGGGTGCTGAACAATGAGAACACACACACACACACACAGAGGGGAGCATCACATACTGGGGTCTGTGGGGGAGAACTAGGGGAGGGACAGCAGAGGGTGAGAAATTGGGGAGGGATAACATGGGGAGAAATGCTAGATATAGGTGATGGAGAGAGAGGCAGCAAATCACATTGCCATGTATGTACCTGTGCAACAATCTTGCATGTTCTTCACATGTACCCCAAAACCTAAAACACAATAAAATATATTTTTTTCAAAAACTTTATTTCAAAATGCATTACCTCAGTCAACATATATGCAAGAGGCTTTATTCTGTGGAAGTAGGAATTACATCTTAGAGTTGTGCTTGTTTGTATTCTTCAGAGTGCCTTCCACGTGACAAGGACTCATCATGAAAGGTTATAAGTGATTTACACATGAAATAAGACCTCCATTGAAATTTACTAACATACACGGTGATTTATTTTTTCAGAGCCTTGGTCAGGGAAGGCAAAGACTCAGTTTCAGATCTCGGTTTCTCTTTTTACAGGAGACAGGTAAGTTAACTTCTCAAAGTTTTGATTTCCTTCACTGCAAAACTAAAGCACAAATAACTATATCACGGTGAACAAACAAAAGTATCAAATGTCTTTTATACAACAAGAACTTTATAAAATATGAAAAAGTGTCAAACCAGATTTGGCCCTTAGTGAGTTTAAGCAAGCTAAACTGTAAAAATTAGGGTTCTCAATTGTGAAATGAGACGATTGGTTTAGATAATTTTTAAATTCTTTTAGCCTTTGGCTAAAGAGTCTATAATTCTGAAATTCCAGCTTCAATTGCCAAGGAATCCTAACATTTTAATTTTTCATTCCCAATACATAAACCTCAACGAGTCCTCTAATGCACAAAGGGAACATTCTATTTTGAATAATTCAATCATAAGCCATTTTTAAAAGAATAATCTAGCCTGATATAAATAACGGCGCTGATTTATGAGTTTTCACATTCTCTTTTGAACATTTCAGGTAGGAAGTCCCTGTGTTTTTATTGCACTGCATTGAGCTGCAGGCCCTACACACAGGGTCTCTCATTCATCAGGCCATTCCTGCAGGGAGAGGGTGGGTGTTGTTATTAACCAAATGTGCATTTAGTCTCCATCTGGCAGATTTCCTATGTGGAAAGGAAGAGCTCCCCACAGTAATGTATAGTTTGTGAATTGATGTCTTGCTGCTGACAAGACATCTCCTTCTGAGTAACTTCTATAAATGAATACCTGGTAATGTCAGCTTGAAATGTGTCTGCTGTAGATCTGGGAACTTGGAGGGCAGGAAGTTACACAAGAAATGAAAATAAAAGCTAGGACTTGGATGGGACGGGCTTTACCTAGCTGTCCTTGCCATTTTTGCTCAGGCAGCTCAAGAGCCAAAATGAGAAGTCCAAGGACAGCTAGGCAAAGAGCTAATATAGGAATCTCAATGGTATGAAATACACATTCATTATCATGGGCACATCTACAAACTTAATTTCATGTTATCTTCACACTTTATCCTGTACATTGGGCTCAGTGAAACTAAATGATTTTCTTGAGGTCATACAACTGATGAAGAATAATTAGAATTTTCATCCAGCTTTTGATACTACTCTTTTATACCTATTTGTAGTCAGATGGAACACTTGTTTGAGGTGATTTCAACATAAAATATAAATATGTAAGCATTGGGCCCTTGACTGTTAGGAGACCCACACTTTTCCTGCCTGAACTGAGGTATAGAGACATAAAGATATATGTCCATAAGAATGATAAAATGGACTTTGGGGTCTCGATGAGGGAAGATTGGGAGAGAGGGAAGGAATAGAAGACTATATATTGGGCACACTGCTCCGGTGATGGGCTCACTAAAATCTTCTTGCAGGAACTTACCCATGTATCCATGTAACTGAAGAACTTATCCATGTAACCAAAAACCACCTGTACCCCCAAAAACTATTGAAAGAAAAATTAAAATTATGAAAGAAAGAAACATGCACAGATACACATCTTAATATATGCTGGAATAGCTATACAGACTCCAGACTTTAATTTTTTGTAGAGCTCTATGAGGCCTATTGGTGAGAAAAGTTCTTGCTTGGGCTGGACATAGAAAGAAGTTGGGAAGGAGAAAGAGGAGAAGGAGAAAGAAAGGAAGGAAGTAAAGAAGGAGGAGCAGGAAGAGGAGGGAAAAAAGTCAATTATATCAAGTAGGAGAACTGTGTAGCTGAGATTAGAATGCACCCAGTGCTTGAATAGCTGTTTCCCAGGCTCTTCTCCAAATGCAGACACTATTGAGCTCTGTAGATTTCAGTGAGAAAGATTCCTATAGGTAGTGGATCCTAGCCTTTAAAGGCTGTTCTTCCTTGTGTGTTGCTGGATGGGCCTCATTGCTAAAGAGGGGAGGGAGGAGGGTGAATTGAGCAGATACAGGTTTTACAGGCCTTGGGCTCAGTACCTCCTAATCTTTTCAGGTGTTGGCAACCATGTGCCAGAGAAAGCTATCCCATGTTCCTCATGTTCCACGACTCCTTCTTTGCTCTTTTTCCCAGAAGACTTATGATTTATCCACCTCAGACAGAGGCTGCCCTGTGCATAATGTAGCTGAATAATCTCAAAACTAAATTGATGTTTTAAACCACCTGAGTTAGCCAACCAAGATTTCTGGTTTTCATCTATAAAGTAAAAATTAATTTCTTGAGTTGTCTGGGGAGATTTTGAAATCATGACCCATTGTGGTGACTTAGATTAATTATAGTTATAAACACCATCAAGCAGTTGATATGTGAGAAGTGGAATTAATCACCAGTCCCTTCCCAAGCACACACATTCACTAACACCATCTAGCACATGAAACAAGACCTGAAGGTGGACCAGCACTGTGAGTCATCATCCTGTTCCTATCTTAAGAAGCAAATTTCCAGGCAGGCTTTTTTATTATTGTAGCATCTAATTACAGAACACCAGAATGCAATGGAGACCCAGAGGTAAGCTGAATTATTGAAAAAATAAAAGCAAAGATAGCCCAGAAAGCTATTACATATCTTCATAATAGATTCACCAAACTTAAGGGTGCTAAGAAATGCAAGCATTTAATTCAGAAGATAAATATATTTTTTCATAGTTCTAGAGAAAATAGCTCTTTTTTTCTCTCAACCTTCTGGAAGTGTTGGTAATTATGTTAGAAACAAGAAACACAGAAGATAGTGTAGGCTCTCCGAAGAAAGGTTAAAGTTTAAGTCATTTATCTATTAAAATGTTTTCATACATCTGTATATGACAAGGTTTATTGTTTTCCCAACACCTTAGCAAAAGGGAATGGCAATTGCAAAGGCACATGACCAGTGAGTAAGGGTAGGAATGTGGTAGGGGAGGGAGAGCATGAGGTTGGAAGGATTTAATCTTCAGCCACCTGACTCGATTTAGTGCTCTGTCCTTTAAATTACAACTTTCTCTGAAATATCATTTAAACTATTGAAACATCCTTTGTCTGCATTAGAAAGTCCAACTTTCAAACTCACAGAACAAAGAATTAAAAAGAACAATACTGCATGTTTAGTTGATAAATATTATAAATGAAAGTGGGATCTCCACCAAGTTTAATAGTGAATGAAAAATTCTTACAGTTAAAAATATGGTTAGGAAAATTCAGCACATTCAGTTGTATGCTTCCACCTTCTGCTTTGAACCACATGAAAAAACTAAATCAAGAAAAGCTTTACTGTCTCATGTTGCTGTTCACTAAATACAAGATTATCTTTGTAAGACTTTTCAATGTGCTGCTTTTTACATCTCCTGATAGCAGAAGTAACCACTGTTCTTGGGGAAGAAAGAACTGAAACCAGCCAAATCTTAAAAGTCATGATGGCATTTAGGAGTGAGAGAAAGTTTATCCCTTAATTGCTTGCCTACATCCCACTCACACTTAATATTGGGGGTAAAGTTTGTTGAGTATTTTCCAGAGAGCACTTTTCACTTTTTTGTTCCTAAGGCTATAGATCAAGGGATTCAGCATGGGAATCACCACTGTGTAAAACACAGAGGCTATTTTGTCTGTGTTCATGGACTGGCTGGAGTTGGGCTGTAAGTACATGAAGATTATTGTACCATAGAAGATGGACACAGCAGTGAGGTGGGAAGCACAGGTGGAGAAGGCTTTCTTCTGCCCTTCAGCAGAACGCATCCTTTGAATGGTGACGCATATGAAGAAGTAAGAAATGAGGATGACTAGGAGGGTGAAGAAGACGTTGAAGCCCACCACGAAGAAGACCACCAACTTGCTGATGCGTGTGTTGGAGCATGAGAGAGACAGGAGTGGGGGAATGTCACAGAAGAAATGATTAATCTCATTAGAACCACAGAAGGAGAGTCTGAAGGTGCCTGCTGTATGGATAGAGGCATTGAGGAAGCCAGAGACATAGGAACCAATAGCAAGGAGGGCACACACACCTGCTGTCATGGTGGTGGTGTAATGAAGGGGCCTACATACTGCTGCATGGCGGTCATAGGCCATAGAGGCCAGGAGGTAGCACTCAACAGTGGCAAACCCCACGAAGAAGAAGAACTGAGCTGCACATCCATTGTAGGAGATGACCTTGTCCCCTGACTGCAATGCATCCATTGTTTTGGGGGCTACAGCTGATGAGTAACCCAAGTCTACAAAGGAGAGGTTACTGAGGAAGAAGTACATTGGAGTGTGGAGATGGGAGTCTGAGTGGATGATCACCATCATTCCCCCATTGCCAACCAGCGTGATGAGGTAGATGAATAAAAATGCCAGGAGGAGGGGTATCTGAAGATTGGGGTCATCTGTTAATCCCAGGAGGATAAACTCTGTGACTTCTGTGCTATTCTCCATTGTGACAAATTTGAATCAGCCTGATGATTAAAGAAGAGGCAGCAACAAAATTCAAATGAAAGTATGAGACGGGATTATGGGATGATAAAAAGGTAAAAAAACTAGTGTATAGAGAGAAGGTATTGTGTGTAAGATTCATGCTAAAATCTTCTGGTATATTATAGCTTTTAACTCATATGAGATGGGTGCTATTATGCCCATCTTACAGATAAGAAAGTTAAGGCTCAGGGAGCTGAATATTGAACAAGATAGTCTATTTAGGGGTCAGAATCAAAGTTTGCCCCTTTATATTGCTGAATTCAAAGTCCATACATTCAGTTTGAATTCTTCAGCATATTTACATCATATAAAGTCAAATTATGATATGGTTATAACTTTGTATGTATTTAATGATTAAACATTTAAAAATCCATCACTTATTGTCTTCCACATTCTACTTCCAATAGTACAGCCTCACTAAAGATTTTCCAAATTTCTTTTTCCTCAAAACAACACAATTCTCTCAAAGTTCTGAGGCCAGAAGTCTCTAATCTGTTTCACTGGGCCAAAATCAAGGTGTTGGCAGGACAAGGTCTGTTTGATACTAAATCCAAAGATCTTAACCACAACTTTTGATGCCTTTATAAATTATTCCCTAAACAGTAGTTCAACCAAAAGGGAATATGGTATATGTAAATGTGAGTATGTATATATATATATATATATATATATATATATATATATATATATTTAGTACAAAACTATGAATTTAATATATACAAATGTTTTTGTTTATCTGTGTATATACATATGTATTTTTTTTACCCCTTATCAGAAGTCTTTGTTGTAGACCCTAATTACAGTTAAGTCCTCCCTTCTCTGCATCCTCAAAGCACTTCAGTCTTGGCTGATTATTGCACAATGAGTTGGGCAACCACTCACTCTTCAACTAGCTCTAAGCCCCTTGGGGCCATAACTGTCTTCATCCTTTCTGGTCCACCCACCCTGCCATGGCCCCTCACACAAATATATAAATATTTGGTGAATCAAACAGAAGATCAATAGGAAAGTGTGTAAATATTTCTCATGCTCTATTCCACAACAAACAGACTGTTGTCCTCTTGTCTCACTGGGTTTGTGCTTTGGGACAAAATATTAGCTTAGATTTGTCATATGAAAAATATTCAGGAGTAACAGTGAGTTTGCAGATGGTCAGGCCTGGAGACAGGCTTGTGTCCTTAATTTAGAGTACTCTTTCTGGCCTATTTTTGTTCTTCAACCTGAGGTGTTCAGGGCTTTTTGGGAGCAGACTCAGAAGAAGTGAGAGAGAAAATCCGAGAAGAGAGGAGGGAAAGAGTTTGGAAAAGAAAAGAGGAATTAGAAGGAGAAAATGCTTCAGCTCTGCTAGACTTTAGCTTACCTTGAAGAGTAACAAAAAGAAGGGGATAGCATAGCTTGTCCTTTTGGATGGCCATCACACACACATGATGTGGCTAGTTTCACAAGAACTGGCTCAGTCAGCTTGGTACATCACTACCCAGTTATGCATCAATTGACTTTTTGACCAGTAGCATTTTCCATTATATTTATCCAGCCTTTTTGACTTTTTTTTCTTTTGACTTTTGACATGTGTGTATACTCTCTAATTCAGCAGACACAATATCTGTAATCTATGACAGGCAGTGTTCTGATCTTACATATTAGGAAACAGAAGGATGTGGTGTCCCTCAAGGTCACGCAACTACTTAACTGTAAAATTTGTACAATTCCAGAGCCTGATTCTCCAGCCTCAGCACTATGGACATTATGAGCAGAACAGTTATTTGGTGCAGGGTGTGCTGGGGGGTGGGGGAGTGCCGTCCTGTGCATTATAAGATATTTAGCAGTTTCCCTGTCCTCTCTCTACCTACTAGATTCCAGTAACACCACCACCTCTCATTTGCAACAGTCAAAAATGTCTCCAGATGTTGCCAAATGTCCCCTGAAGAGTAACATTCCCCTAATTGAGAACCACTGTTCTAAAGTTTATAAAAAACAGTGGTTCTAAAGTTTATAAAACTCTTTTTGCATTCACTTCTTAATTTAATTATTGCATGACTAGATAGATAGATAGATAGATAGATAGATAGATAGTTAACAGATACAGACATGAGGAAACTGAGGCTCAGGGAGGTGAAGAGACTGGTTTAAGGTCTAGAACTTTACTCTGGCCAAATATTACTGCTTAGTGGTAGAGCAAACCCAGGAAGGGATAACTGCTTGCTAAGTACTGTGGTCCTTTAACTAAAGAGATATTAGCCTTCATATATCTACACCAACCTTTTCCTAGACACAAGGTAGGATGAAAACCTGGAAAAACTCCAATAATAAAATGCAGCTGACTTAGGGTGGATTCTGAATTATTTTCCAAAATACCTTCTCAAATGCTTATTAGATCAATGTCCTTGGTTAATATTGACCACAGGAGTCTATTCCCTTAAGCTGTAGGTTCAGTTTCTAAAAGCCATTACGCATCCACCATATTGAACTGCCCCCGACTGCCATCTTCACGTACCAGCAATTAATATTCAAGGTACTTTCTGTGTTCCCTTGATGGGCCACCCTTTCCATTATGCATTGCAGTTGCTGTTAATAAATGTGTTGAGATCCAGAGCAGCAGGGAGAAATCTGGAGTCAGGGCAGAGAGAAAAGGCCCATTACACAGTACCAACCCTGGAAGCCTGCAAGGCCTGAGTTCAAATCCTGCTGCTGCTGCTGCTGCTGCATCTCCTCCCACTCCAGTCCTGCAAAACCCAGGCTTCTCTGCATGGATCTAAAATAAATTTCAGAAGGAATCTTGAAAGAGAAAAAATATTTTTTAAATATCTAAGGTTGAATACTAAAATATCTAAGGTTAAAATATTAAGTTTAAAACTAAAATTTAAGGAATTATTATTGTTATAAAGAGAGAAGAAGTCTAAGCCATTAAGATAGCTTGGAAAGAAAAAGTTCCATGAAAATTGCTTCAAAAGGGGTTCGAAGCATCACCCTGAGTCATCACAGCCCCATCTGGGGAGTTCTAAAGAATCTCAATGGAATAAATTCCATAAGGGAAGAGACAAGGTCTTTATTGTTTGTCACTGTTTTGTGCATTATTATCCGCCACTACATTTGAGGCAGCAGTAGAGTAGACCCAACTATTTATTAAGTGGTGAGTGAATTAAAATATCAGCAGTTGAGTTAGAATAAGAGCTTTAATGCTCACTTGCTTTGGGACTATAAGCAAGTCAATTTTCCTTTGCAGACAGAAGATAAAGATAAAATATAAGAAACCCCAGCTAGTGTGTGGCCTCTAGCAGGTGCTTAATATAAACTAATTAATCAATCTTTTTATTAAACTGTAAGCCGAATGTGTGAACTTATTTCCCAGGTTTTATTCATACCATTTGGTAGCAATGACTATGGCAATGGCTAAGTAAAGGTGACTTAGAATTACCTGTGGGAAACTTCTGTCTCTATTCTTGTGAAATGTAGCAGAGGAGGTTGGGGAAAATTGAATTAAGAGTCTTTTTATATACCCACTTCTGAGCCTGTTTCTTTTAGACAAATCCATTATTTCTACCCATGGTGTGAAGAATACTGCGTTTTAAAAAGGTCAGGGAAAACATACCTATGTCCTTGGGAATTATGAGATCTCAATTCAGAACTGCTTCAACGCTGGACTTTTTAAGTCTGAAAAAAAGAAAAGAAGAGTTGTTGGTCTCTGAGGACCTTGGATTTCAAATAGTAAAAGATTTCCTGAGGCTATGTGATAAAAGCGTAAAGGCAGTTCAGCTGCTGCTGCATTTTGCTTGAGAGCCTAAGTGAGCCATACCAAACTATCTGAGAAGTCTGAGATCAGCTAGAAGCTGGTGCCTATGTAGATTTAGGAGCCTCTGAAGCGGGGTTCCCGGGTTCCAGGGTTCCCTAAGGTCTCAATTCCAATCCAGGGCTCAGCAACATACAAACAAGCAATTATAACCCCACGTTCCTGAGGGAACTGAAACATTATGATATGGAAGCACCTCAAAGATCCCTTAGGGGTCACAGGGGAGTCCTGGTTCTTCTAAACACGGGCTATGATTACTGATGAGAAAATTCTGTCAAAAAAATGCTTTCAAAGGAGCTTGAGGATCCAGCTCCCCTGCACGCTCAGCCCACAGATTTCCTGTGAGTATTGGGATCTGGCCCTTTATCTAAGACTAAATGGGGAGATAGTTTCAAAATGTCGGAGTATAAATGATAAATTTTATCAGAATTTCCATTTTCCCAAAACCAGCTCTGTCTACAGAACTCAAAAGTTCCAAAGAGCTTTGTGAATCAAAACACTTCCAGGAATTTTTTTTTTCCCAATCAACTTGGTTTTAAATAAATTTTAACAAAGGATTTCTCTATTTCAGCCTCTATTAAATTTATATGTAAAAATATATATATTTATATATTATACATGCTATTATATATTTATATATTATAATACATAATATAACTTCCTATATTTCAAGCCCTTTGTTCAGTATATCCTTGTATGTGTTATTTCACTTAATGTTCATATAACTCTATGAGAAATATACTATCTTTCCAATTTTACAGATGCGAAAACTTCTACACATACCTAGCAGTTAGATCTTTTTCTAATATTATTCTCTAATAAAAGAAATCAAGGCTGCTTAGAGGAATGGCTGGTTCTAGCAGTCGAGCAGGGAATATACCAGAGAAGCCTGGAGCATCTTACAGTTCCGGAAAGTGAGAAAATGCTCAAGTCTGTCTGACCCAAATTCTGTATATTTTTACACTGTGCTCTACTGCTTCTCTTGGGAATAAATGTGGAAAAGCAGAGATGCCCTCAGAATCTAGAAAACGATATTTTTTTAGGTTCTCACAAATCCATGTTCCACTACAGTCAGTTACAAAAGGAGAGCTTATTTACTCACTTTTTCTTTGCTCTCATGAAAACATTTCCAAGAAAAAGCCCACTGTTAGAATACTCTTTTTAAACAAAAGAA